AAAATTATAATCATTCAAAGCTGTAGATATAGAATATGATGACAAAATGAAATTAAAAATCGTTTATTTCTGACTCAAATTCATCTAGTACTTTACACTTTTAATGTACTAATTAGAATCAAAACATTTTTTTCTATTTTTTATACTAGATAAAATATGTGTCTATATAATTATTGGACTACTGTTTTATTACTAGATATTATTATTTTTCCAAGATTTTAGCATTTATTTTCAGTTCTCCTGAATCGTGAAATTAACCTAGTCAGTTTACTATAAAGTTTCATGAATAGCATGAAGTCAATGGTAGTAATATTTTATTTTGCTCCAAGACCCTTTCTCAAAAGTATACTTTATATATGTTACTGTGAATGACCGATATCTGGCGAATGTCAGCATTCACACAGTCGTTTCATGTATGTATGAAATATTTGCTAAATATCATTTCTCACTTGCATCGGCAAATGTCGACATTCAGCATGCTCTGATGGTGAATGTTGAATAAAAGTATTTTTATTACATTAAGACAAAAATACAACAAAGCTTAAGTAACAGCACATGTAAATAAACTGTTGAACATAAAACGAACAGTACATTCTAAATCATTAAAGAAAATAATACAATAATAAACTTACACATAAATTGTGTGATTAACATTATACAATCTTATTTATTGCAACAGCTTAAACTGTTATGGCACTTTGAATTGACAAGAGTCCCTTGCTTTTACAACTGCATTTATTCGTGGAATACTTCTTTTTGCAATGACAGGGTGTATAGCCTTGCCCTCCACTTTTCAAATTAACTGCAGCTGCTTCTTTCAGCAATATTTCTTGAGAAGAAATGTCATCTATGGAAAGTAACTTTTCTTTATACCCGTAATGAGTTCATAATTTGTAAAGCTACTTGAGGGTACCATTTTTGTTTGCTAATTTATAAAAGTTGGAGTCTTCTATTCCAACAACAACTGCCAACACATTTCGGGCATCTGTATGGCCACAGTCGACATTAGGGACTTGTATTCATACGGTATTACCAATTTGAACAGAAAGAAACAGTGAAGAATTTGGTGACAGACTGTCACCTCTCTGTCAACATCGGCTTCTCAGGTGTTGTTTCGACCTCCACCAAAGCTTATCTGTGCTTGTCAACATACACTGGCAATTGTTCGAATGTACAATAATATAACCAAATATTCAGTCTTTCACCAACGTATTTTGTATGTGTTGACATTCACTAAAGAATATCAACATTCTCTAATTTCGGTCTTTCACAGTAACATACAGTGGAACCCCGGTTAACGAACGTAATCCGTTCCACGAGTCCGTTCGTTAACCGAAGCAATTTTTCCCATAGAAATTAATGCAAATACAATTAATCCGTTCTAGCCGTCAGTATTTTTGTAATTTTATTTGTAAAATGGGTTTTCTTTAATGAAAATATAGGAAAACGTGCTCAAACAGTCGATCTACGTTAAATTTTCGGAAAAAAGGAAAGATTTGACGGGTATAAAAAACATCACATACGATCGTTAAAGTTCTAAAATGACAGATAGCAGAAACAATAGGCTAAATTATGAGCGAAAGGCTTATAGGTTTATCAACAATCTCCGACCACAGTCGACGAACAGGTGTCAAATAAACGCCTCGGAACAAACCTTTCTCGTGACCTGATCTGGTTTCGGTTTTCACCTGGAGACAAAGAAGAAAACAATCGGGAAGCGAGGAATGGGACACAGGACAAATCGTAAGGTGAGATTCAACGAAGAAATACTGTAAAACCCCGAATATCAAGGTAAAAACGCAGTTTCCTAAAAATTCTATGGCGATTAATCTGTGTCGTCTTTGTCTGGATTAAGCCTGAAGTCGTTCCCGCTAAAATTCGTGTTGTGTCTCGCGGACCGCTCCAGTCTTGCGGCTCTCACCTACCATCGCTTCTGTGACCAAGCGAACCCATCTCGTCCGCTCTGGGGCTACGACTGATTAGCTTGCACTATCGTAGGACCAGCGATACGCCACTCCTCAGTGCCGAGAGAAAATACTGTAGATAAGCTATTTCCAACTACCTCAAATATGTAAGCATCTTCCCGTTCTAATAAAAGATTTTCACTATAAAATACTTGTCATCTTTTTCTCCTCCGCCATTACCAACGTACGAATGGACCCTAGACCATCACCGACACACGATTAACTGATTTTCCCTAAAAGTCGGCAAGCTTACAAATTTGACACAAAAAGCCGTTAAGTTTGTTATCCGAATTTTGTTCGTTATTCGAGACAAAATTTTTGCAAAATAATAGTTCGTTAACCGATTTGGTCGTTAACCAGGACGTTCGTTAACCGGGGTTCCACTGTATATACTAATTCAGTTATTTCTCCTATAATATGGTATGTTTGCTCCTAAAAATTAGTGTTATCAAACATCAAAGTTTTATTTACTAAAAAAGTATGTTCCAAAAAAATTTATAAAATTCAATGGAGTCAGAAATTTCAGAAATCATACTGTCCTTTAAATCGAAAATATAATGTATATCTGATGGAAATAACAAAGATTTTTTCTAGAACAACAAATATAGACAAAAGAGAGAAAGAAATTGGAGATACACACAAGAAATATGTTTTAAATGGATACCCAAAAAAATTATTAAATGATTGGTTTCATAGATTCTTAAGAGACAGATTTAAACGTTGTCAAGAAATAACAAAGTATGTATCATTTCCGTATATAAAAGGTATTTATGAAAAATATAATAAGATTTTTAACCAAAAATTAATTAGATTGGCTCCATCCTTAAATTAAATAACAGGTTATCAAATATGATGATCATAAGAAGAACTAAAAAAGATTTATTAGAAGAAGAAGGTGTTGTTTATTGGATAGAATGCACGTGTAACAACCCTAGTTTTTATGTTGGTGAAACAAAACAAAGATTAAAGATTAGACTGTCGGAACATTTGGCTGCCGTAAGGTTAAAAATTAGTAATTCTCCTGTCTTCCAACATTGTAATAGTAATAATTGTCAGATAAATAGTAATAAATTAAAAATAATTTTTAAAGAAAAAAATAATGTAAAGCAAAAGGTAAAAGAACACTTTGCTATAATTATGCAGAACAATAATGTAAATTTAAATACCGGAATGTTAACAGTGGAATGTTGGGAATTTTTTGTTGACCATATAAGTGGCTCTTCAATAAGTTGACTGTTAGAACGCACTTTGTGTACTGTAGGCCCCACTGAAGAGGCCGTAGGCGAAATGCATTTGGGAAGCTTGTTAGTAATGATGTAAATAAAAGTCTTTTCTCTGCAAATTATTTTCTTTTTTATACGTTTTTAACTCTTTTTTGGAAATTTTATAGTTATTGGCTTGATATTTTTTAAAAATTGAAGTTATATATTATCCAAAAGTCAGAAGAGAGAGAAAAATATAAAAATTTTTTTGTATTTTTACATTTATGTAAGAAGGAAACAAAAGTAAAAAAGTATGGTTAGAAGAACATTAAAAAAAAACTAGTTTTTCAAAGCATTTCAATATTTAAAGCTTTCCTTTCTGTTTCTTTCAATACTTGGATTTATAACTAGGATATTGGGATAATGTATTAAATATTTATCATCAAGAAAGCATATTACCTTGGGAAAACAGTTTGATACATACTTGTAGGACCATATAAATGCATTCAACTAAGGCAAGAATGGCGAAAAGATATTGGGTATTCAAGGATCACTATATTCATCTGGTGTTATTTAATAACACAGAGCATAGTTGCTATATAAAAAATCACTTATGAGCTCACTTATGAGCTTGTTAGCTCATAAGTGATTTTTAATTTTTTTAGAGGAATAAAATTAACTACCATGTAGGAACAAATTATCATTAAACCCAGTGCAAACTAGTCAATGCTGTCACTTTCAACTTGACATCAGATGAGATTTTGTGTAAACACATGCATGACTGTTTTCCTTCAATCTCATGATGTCATGGCTTGTGATATCACTTATGATGTAGCTCTAAAGAACTAATAAACGTTTTACCCTCTACAAATTATCACTTTGAAGAGTGTGTTTCCAAAGTGATGAACATCAGCAATCACAATTGTGTTGCTTATAAGCTTCATGCTACAGTTTTGTATGCTTTTTTGGCAATGAATTAATTAGTAAGCAATATATAAAATATCTTTCATGATGTATACTTTTTATAGTTTCAATAACTTTATGAAATAATTATTATGATAATCTGAAAACTTTCCAATTTGAAATTGAAGAGCTTATTTCCAAAGTGACATATCTCCAGAAAATACAAATTTCCAAAAGCTGCAAAATTTTAAATAATTGCTTTAAATGTTAAGGTAAAAACCTAATTATTGGTACAGAGCTATAATTTTATATTTTGAACATAGGTTTAACAGTGTAAAAAATCCTGCAGCAAAAGAAGTAATAGCAATAGTACTTCAAATCATGGACTTGCACTACTTTGGAACAAAATTGAAGCTTTTGAATGGATAATGTAATAAAAACAACAAATACATGGTCCAAAACTTAATACATAAAAACAAAAGAGAATATACAAAATAATATACAAAACAAAAATGAAAATCACACAAACCTTGTTCATATGACTGACTGAAGATAATAGAAGACTGTGTTTAAAAAAATATACTGTACTAATTCCAAAAGAAAGAGAATAATAACAATTGCATAAAATTATTAATGAAAATCATATTGTATGTGTATTCATGCTAGAGATGGCCCAACAAGATATTAGACCTCCTTTCATTTGTAGTTTTTCCTGCATAAATGATCTTTTTACTTTCATTTTGTAATCACTTATATCACTGTTACACTCTCACATATACAATTTCATTTGTTTCCAACAACTCCTCCTTGGTGCACTAATTTTTATGACAGACTGTATATACATTATTAAATACTTTAATAATTGTGAGTATGTATATGAATTTCATTTAGTTTTTAAATAAAATTTAATCTTAATTAAATTTTCTTACAGATGAATATCTAACCAAAGATTGGACATATCCAATTGAACTTCATGGAATTGGAAAATACGGAAATGATTCTTACAGAATTTTTTGCATCAATGAATGGAAAAAGGTTATTTAATAAATATATTTTAAATTTCAGTTTTTATGCATAATTTATTAAATTAATTTTATTATATACGCATTTTAGGTGAAACCTACTGATCATATGTTAAATAAATATCACAATTGGTTGAAGCAGACCATTTTGGATTAGGTATTTTAAAATATATTTTAATTAATTTATAGCATGAACACTTTCAGAAATTTTTATTCAAGTGTATAAGTATTTGTATAGTAAACTTATGATTTTTTAATATAATTTTTTAATATTGTAAAAACATATTACAAGACTAATAAAATCAAGTTATAAATTTTATGTCCTTGTTTATACTTTTAGTGCACTATTATAAACTATTAATCAAAGCTATTATTAATAAAATTTGTCAGGATGATAAGTAAATTTGAAAAAATTCACAAAATTTAGAAACACTAAAATACGTTCACAATTTTATTCTTTATCACACATCAGGAACTGTCTTATGACAGAGTCAACCTTTTACTTTAAGTGCTTATCTAACTCAATATGCAAATCATGTTTAAAAAAAAAAAATGCATATTGAGGCAGATGAGAGTCTAAAGAAAAAGGTTGATTCTGCCATAAGACTGTTAGTTTGAGGTGTGATAAAAGACAAAATCATGAAGATACTTTTAGTGTTCTTCTAAATTTCGTGAATTTTTTTTAAAGCTATTATTGTACAAAACAATAATAGCTTTAAAAAAAGCCTGACTATATATTAGTAACCAAATATATTAGTGAGGTTGCGAGTGAAGTTTTCATCTCTAAAACATGATTGTTGAGCGCTACTTACAAGATAGCAGCGCTCAATGTTCAGGTTTTAGAGATGAAAACTTCAGCTGCAACCTCGCAATTAACTGCTAGATTCTACAGCTAAAATTAAACTGACCATTAGCATAATTATGGCTTAAAAGTCTGGCAGTTATAATATTTAGCTATTAAAATTATTATTTATAGTTTTCACACTAACAAAAAATTCATGGAATTCAGTATTACTAAATTCTATACAATTAAGATGACAAATTTTATATATTTTTTTTATCTCATCATAAAAAATATTAAATGTTCAGGTTTTTTTAAATGCATTCTCAGCTTATACAAAAAGCTAAATAAAAATGGTATTAAAGTTAATTTAAATTTAATGCAATTATACATACATAAATCTGTATGCATTTGAATAGATTTCTGTGAGTCTATTCAAACCTGTGAATTTTTTTTTCCAAATTTAGTTTGTGATATGTTGATATTTTATTTTGTAAATTTTTCGTCCAATGGAAATTATTATTATTATTAAACAAAAAATTAAAAAACAGTCTGCCCAAAAAGGGGCCATAATTTATTTTTTGTGTTCCCGACTTCACATTCACGGCGACAGACCTTCCTTTATAGATTACATGCCGCCAGAATTTAAATAACAGTCCTTTAAAAATACACAATTACATCCAATTAAAAAAATCTTTTTAAAAAAGGAACTGGTATTATACAGATGTCTTGCTTTCATTCTTCCTATGGGGTGTTTCTGCTTTTATCTACTGGAACAAGCGCTGGAAAATAGAGTTTTCAGAAACTTTCCCCTGGTGACGATACATTCCAATTTTTTCTTTTGTAAATTTTTCGTCCAATGGAGATTATTATTATTAAACAAAAAATTAAAAGACAGTCTGGTGGCCCCATTTTGGGCAGACCGTCTTTTAATTTTTTTTTTTTTTCCTGATATTTTATCTTCTGAGAAAATTTTGTGTTAAAAATAAAAGTTAAAGCCACACTTTTAGCAACAAAACTAACCACACTTAGAATATTTATTTATTAATTCTAAATAAACTCAAATTGCTTTTTTTATTTATATTCTCCATACTGTGGACAACACTAAACATGGGTTGCTCTGGAAAATTTTTAAACACCACCAACTATTTTGCCAGTTTTTAATTTTTTTTTGTCACTTCCAAATAATTTATTGCTACCAGTTTTATTTACTAATTAATGCAGATGCTGGTAGCCTTATTAGTTTGGAGTCAGGAAAGCAAAAGCAACATGTTAAGCTGTCACTTAGAAATAGAAATCATTTTTCAATAATTTTTTAATGAATAATTCTGAATAATACATTTGATTACAATGTTTAAACAGTATTTCACATGTTCTGTCATATCAAAATTTTTCACTTTAGCTGAGGTATGCTTTATGATTCAATTTCACCCTGAATGTTGAAATAAGCAGACTAGGATTTTTATTGCCACTTCAATAAAAATATCACCAAGTTACGATTTTGGTACTTTGCAGTACAAAACCTTGACTAAGAGGCAGTGGTGCCCACAGAGGAGGGTCAAGGGGCTCTGGTATCCCCAAAGTAAAAGGGGGCACTAGTAAATTTTCCAACAACCTTTTCCTAATTAAAATTCATTTTTTTTTATTTATGCAGTGTCATGTCTTCTATACTGTATTACTTATAAATTAGCAGTCACATAAGGTAGGAATTTTATTGAATTTGCATTAAAAATTTTTTTATCCATCCAGTTCAGCTCCCCAAAATTAAATCTTGAGTGCATCAGTGCTTACAGGACTTTTTTTTCTTTTTATCAAACTCATTATGGATTCAGCCAGGTAAGGAACAGGGCCCAACACATTCAGATTAGACCTTCCCTGAAAATTCATGGAGTGTTTTGAACTAAGTATTCATATTTGTTCCCATATCCCTACAGCAATAGATAGAGGCTGACACCTTAACTGTTCTGTATCTGGCCATCACTCAAACTGCACTATATATTCAGAAGTAGACAATTCTTCAATAATTTACAGTTGTTACAGTAACTACTATTCTTCAGAAATAGATTCTGAAGCAGAAACTACTATCACTCTCCAGGCAAGTAAACTGATGTCTGTTGTGGATAAATGGGCAACTAAATATATTTTCAGGCAAAATGAACTGATACTTGGAGTAAGTAATACATACCTTTCTCTGGAAAGCAGGCCATCATCATGCTGCAAACAAAATAAATCAATATACTACACAGTAGTTTGTAGATACAGCTAACAAATTGCTAGACAAGGTAATTTGAAAACACACTATGCATTATTGAATAAATCACTTAGTCGTTAGTTAATCAAGCAGAAACTTAACAAATAGTAGGCTACGTAAGATTCAGTACATTTAAAATTAGTTTTAGAATGCTAGAATGTTATCGTGAATTACATTATAAGGTTCATCTTTGTTTAGGAGCAGGAGAGGTATAAGAAAAGACTTCAAAAGACCTTACAGGAAAAAAGTACCATAAGTAGGATTAAAAAAAACCACAAAGTTATAATTATTTTAAGTTTTTCAAATTCATATATTTATTAAACATTATATACTGCATTTAGTATATTGATATTATTACAGTTAGCCAATTAAATTAGCCTATTTTCTTGCAACATCAATACACAATCTGTATTAAATGCAGGGCTGTGGAGTCGTGTAAAAATCTACTGACTCCGACTTTGCCTTTCCATCTGACTCTGACTAGGAGCAAACTTGTTACCAAAATAGACCCGGAAATTCTGATCTCAGAATAAATAGAGTTCTAATAAAGATAGAGGAGTCTTTTAGCTTTGGAATAAAAAATTTTCTTCGTTCTAAGTAAGAACACAGTCAATATATAAATGTGTATTTGATAATTTTTACTTTTCTGGCTATTATATATAACAGAGGGAAAGTGTTGCGATTGGTCAAAAAATTACCCTTCCCAAATTTTTAATTTTTGAACTCAAGACACCTTGAAATGTTTTTTGCCCACAAGTGGCCAAGTGGTCTTCGTACCCTGAACACTGGGAGTTTGGTTGTGGGTTCATGCCTAACTCAGATGGACTGTCCACATGGAGTTTTCTGGGTTTTTTCCACGTCTAACACCTAAATAGGGGCCAGTTTCCCTTAAAAAGATCTCCCAGAAGGCATCCCCCAGACAGATCGCCCGAGTGTTGTGTTGCCATAACTTAACAAACAAACCTTAAAATGTTGAGCTATGCAAAAGATTCTATTTTTTTTTTCTGTATTTATGGATGTTGGACTGTGTGTGCAGGGGCACGAGTTTGTTCACTCTGTTTGAAGCCTAATAACTTCTGTGGTTTTTAAATTGGAATCAGATGGTTTAACACAGGAGTTATTAAGCTTCAAAGTGGTTGTGTGGGGCTCCAGAAGTGGGCTGGAACTACACTAAAAATAAAAAAGGAAAGAAAAAATAACTTTTTTTAGAAAAATTTTTATAAAGCCATTTAAGAAAAGTGTATAAACTTCATGTCCATATAAGGACATGTTTGACGGAATTGTTAGAAAAGAGAGAGTTCTCAGGTTAAAACAATAGATGAATGTAAGTCCTAAGATCGAATTGTCAGTCGGTGTTGACTCATCTCGCGATCTGGGTTCTGATCTTGTTACGTTTCGTAACGAGTAAAGACCAATCGGATAGCGCAGGTGAGTAATGTTGCTAGATTTTTTTTAAAAATGCAATGAGTTGTGTAACTATACTGGATGTTATGAGATTTTATTTTTAAAAAAAAACTTTTACGCTAATTGTTTTTAACAGATGGCGCCACACAAATTTTACTTTGAGAATATAACAAAATTTTATAAAATATCATAAAATGATGAAAGGATACAGATGAGTTTTATAAAAAAAAATTGTAAATGCTAATAACGAGTAAAATCTTCATTAAGTTCGACCCCCTCTTGAGATGAAACACCGTCAACTGGGCTACAAAATACAAAAGCTTGTTTTGTTCTAATAAAATCACCATTCTTTTCTACTGATCAGAGAAATTTAAATATTTTTTAAGAAACGAGTTAAAAGAACAATTTTGTAATTAACGAATAATATTACATACCTTATTTGTTTAATACGTTTAATTTTTACAGTAAATAGAAAAGACTCGAAGGGCAGTTATATCTACCCCCAACATTAACAAATATACATTAAATACAAAGACAACAATTACATAAATGTATATATATGTAACCCCCGCATAACACGGGAGTAGTTACGTTCCAAAAAATTGCCGTGTTATGCGAATCCGTGTTATATGAAACAAAGAACTAGTGCGAAAGGGGGGTTAGGTTCCAAAAATTAAAAAACATGTTGTTAAATCCTTATTTAAATCGGATTTATTATTCTTTTTTTTTCTTAGGTAAAATACTTATTTATTACGTAAATATTTTACCAGAGGAGGATTCATTTTA